TCTTGTTGATCTCCCTTTTGAGTTCTCGTGTAAGCCACTGAGGGCGGTTGGATGTCCTAGGCTTTGATAAGGAACAGTGGTTCTTCATTAGATGCAGTAAACGATCCTTGAATAAATTCCAGTCCTCGTTAACGTTTCCGGAGAAGAGAACATCCCAGTCTATTTGTGATGCCTCAGCTCTCATTTGGCGAAAGTCCCCTTTCCATATATTTGGCCTCGTATTGTCTTTTGTACACGGTTCAGAATACAGCAAGTACTCGCATAAAAGCACTGCATGATCACTCCGACCGAGCGGGGGTAGGTAGTACACCTCGTCTATACTGTCAGGATCTTTGGTAAAAACGAGGTCCAGACAACTGGCCTGTTGCCCTCCACGAGCTCTAGTTGGAAACAGGACATGCTGCGTGAGTAGAGCTTCTAGAGTTGTCTTTAGTAGATGGTAATCGAAGGTATTCATCGAGCATTTCGCATGCACATCGCTCCATTGAATGCATGGTGCATTAAAATCCCCCATGATAACAACGTCTGGTCGGCTGGCGATCTCTTTTATGCTTTTCAGTAGACAAATATCTGGGTCGGGATCCGCCTGCGTAAACATATGCACGTTTTTCAGTATATGTCCGTAAAGATTTTTCAGAGGCCCCAGCTATTTTTCTGTATGTGCTTGTACTAATATAGTAAATTAGGCAGGCCGCTATTTGCCAGTCAAAAAGGGGTAAACTGATTACGGGGAGCAAATGGGCAGTAGTACAAAAAGCTGCTGATCGAGTGCTCTTTTAAATCACTCAGAGGTGGTCGGGTTCCGGTCGTTGTGAAGTGCAAATAACAAGTTCCAAATAACGAGAGTTTACGACCGTCTAGCAAATGATTTGAGCTCACCCATGAGCTGGGGATCAACTTCAGGGTAATTTCTTGGGGGAAGATACACCAGTAAGATACCGAGGCTTTGAAAACCCGTTCATAAGATGGTCAAACACGCTGCGTCCATAAAGCGAGTCAGCTGAGAGTTTTTTTGAAACATGCAAAACCTCCTTTACAAATGTCGCTATGCCACTACCCCTTCGCTTTTCCTGTATCCGCGGAAAATTTGGAATCCAGGAAGTACTAACTTCCTGTCGTCAGCCTGCTCGGACAGTTATATTTCTGTTATTAAAACAACGCTTTGGAAGAGGTCACAAATATGGGTCCGGAGTTCTTTCATTGTTGAGAGTACACTTTGCCAGATAATATACACGAATGCGCTTCTGGAGTTCATGCGAAATCTGTGTATAGCCCCGACACGTTCTACTGGGGTATGTGTGTGGTCTATCGAACCGCCTTGATCTAGGGGTGGGCGGAATGTGATTTTAATGTATGCTTTTTTAGATAACTTGACTGTACTCTTTTGTGCTGAACTCCTTACACACGTCAAAAAGTAGCTGATAACGTTTCAGCCTCTCCGCTGGCTAGTAGTCCGGTTAAAAAACGCTGGATATGGAGTTTTTTTTATCTTAACAAGCCTGGAAAGACACAGCCTGGCTTGTTGCCCGTAGGCCAGCGCAAAGTTGAAAGATGATGACGCGTTTATGCCGGTTGATTGTCTGCCATTTTTCATGACGTAAGGCTCTGAGCACTTTACTTGCCTCAGTGGGTTCCAAAATATTACTGAATAGACCCTGAAAGAACTTTAGGTCTCCCAAAAGTCGTTCCTTGTAAGTATTGGCGTTTGCTCTCGTTCGTACTTTCTGCTGATATGTCGCTCTCAGCCAAACGTAATGCTCTTGCAATATAAGTCGGTTATGACGGAACAGATATTCCTTTGTTGCTCAATTCCTCTTTTGACAGACTTGCAAGAAGCCGTTAGCATGGACAGCTGAGAAAAATGGCCTGTGGTTTAGATGGCTGACTCCATAACACTTTCTGTGTTGCGTTTATCCAACTCGTTTATCCACCCGTTTTCGTTTTGTTTGTTTTCACTGCTCACTCTGGCTCTGTTGTATCAACTACTGAAAGCGATCCTGAAGGGCCTTTTCAGTGAATTTATTTTACTTTCAGCTACTAGTTCGGTAGGGGCATTCATATCGCCAACTGTGGGTAAACTATATTGCAACATAATTCTCATCTGTCCTCTCTCACCTTGGTGGCTAACAGGTGACATCCACTGCAAATCCTAATTGCATGTGGCTCGCCTGACCAGTGGATGGAACTTTGTGAGGTCTATCGTCGTCGTGATGAAATGGCCGAGCTGTCTGGGTTGTTGGCTGATATTCCAGCAATCGATAGACCTAACCCGTATTGTGACGCGACGTTTTGGCAGCAGTATGCAAGTCCATCATGCTTCTGGAATTTGTACAGAGAGGCATATCTGCGACAATGGCGCTTTTTCTGTAGAACAAATTTAGGCAGTATTTTTTATAGGGGGTTTATTGGAATATCTGGAAATAGAAAGGCCTGACAGACGTATTCAGTTAACCTTGGTTGGAGAAATTGATAGGGATCCGACTTTAATCAGCACGACAAACAGCAATAAAGAAGAAAGCGAGTCAGCCTGTTGCAGATGTTGCTCGGAAACGTCAACAAACCGTTTGAGTGGAGTATTTTGGACCAGCAGGTTGTGCGGACCGATCTGAGGTGTCGGAAGAAAGAAGGGATTTTCAGAAAAATTATCCTAGCCATACGGTAAGTGTGTCGATGTCTTCGCAACGGAAGATCAAAGGCAAAATGTGCTCCACAGTCCATTTTTTGTCAGGGAGAACTGTTTTCCATGAGGAAAAACTGCCAACTGATATCAGCTTGGTGAGTAGTCTATCTGTTAACTTAACACTGGTTCGAACAGCCTTCCACATTCCTCATCCCTTATGACGTGGAGAATGGACGTTCGAAAACTTAGGAGACCGTCCCCGAGTTAATTCATTTGCCCACATTTTCCTCTTTACGCGTGGTTTTGCCCGTCACAATACTTTATCAGTAATTTTGATTTTTTCAGTCTGTGAAGTGTGACGCTCATGAAACACGATAGCCTCACAGACCTATCGTTCACAACAAGTACTGAGGTCGTCGTGACGCACATGTTCTGAGCCGCCTTTGTTTAACCTGCAGCCAATTTCCATCAGGATGTTCTGATCTCCGGCCCCATTGTCGATCACACCCTAGGCCTGCCGCAACCTGGCATGCTCGTGCGCACATTTGTGACGTTTCATACTCAGGTGCTGATCTGTAATGCTAGTTAAACCCTACCCTCAGAATGAACCTAACCTGCTACTACTAAATACCTTTGTGAAGCAGATTTTGTCTACCAAACATTTTGCTGAAGGTGCCAGAACCCTGAACTCTTCCCACGCTTTCAATTCAGGTTTTTCCTTTCTATTAGGAATTTGAAGACATCACTGTCTTAAGTACGGTAAGTAAAACGACAAATCGCCGACCGGCATAAAACTTCGTGTTTTGCACAACACAATCCTTAAATTCCATCGTAAAATTGGTTGCTCACACAAAACATTATTGCTTATACAGTCCATATTAAGACAGTTCAATATTAATTTTGTGCCGATACTGTCCCTTTGGATCCTAACGATACAACTGTTACTAGTATTCCTTCAGAACTCGACCAACCGGTAGCAAAGAGGGACCGGGAGAGGTAAACCTGTTAGCTTCTTCAAATTTTTGTCGCGAAAAACTCGGAGGCATATCCATTTTTGTATAAAACCGACTGAGCGTCCAGCAAGTAGGTTCCAAGCAGGGTGATGCTACCAGTGATGCACCCGAACGCTCTAACTTCTTCACCAGCGTCAGCAGAGCTTCGGCATTCGCCTTGTAAAGTGCCAGTACCTACAGCTAGATGCTCACTCTTTACACTGCACGCTCAAGCCTTGTCCAGCGAGGTTAAGTCCAGGACTTTTGAAGGCAACCGACCAGCCATCACGGTCATCCAGAAAACGCACCCTTGAAATGGATGGAAATCTATAGAGAAATTAAGGACTCAGATAATTGTTTTTGATGGCACTTTTCAGACTCAGGCGCCGATGCGCCCTTTCGGAGTCGTCGTGTGACATGCGTTCAATACCTATATCTGTTCTTGCCGATGAGCGGTCATCTACAGAGCGGCTTTCGCTGCGATCCAAATTACTGTGAGATCCATTCTTCTAGCACACAGTTCCCAGGCACAAAGCTCAACGGCTCACTCAATTAGATATTAGGGGACAGTTCGACCGTTCTGACTTCCACCGTGTGCTCAATAACCGGGTGGAAGTGGACACGATGACATGCGCGGGATTTAGCCTATAGAGAAAGTGGACTTGGGCGGCATCTATCGCACTCTCCCCTTCTCCCCCGCCTGAGCCCGATGTCAAAATATAGTCCAGAAGACCATGGGCGAGAGAGCACAGGTGGTTCGGCGGATCCGCACTTACGCGTAGCAACACACAAGACTAGAAGTAGAATAACTAAGACGACCGTAAAACGAGTGGTTCGGATATTTCGAGTCTATGCTTGGCCTAGATTCGAGACAAACAGCAACTGCGCGAAGAAGTGTAGGAACTTTTTTCGTTATGTTTCTATTAAGCAACTTGAAGATCTTTTGCAGAAGGGCAAAATGAGAGTATTGCGTAGTCGTATGAAGTGCTTTGCGTGCCCGTGGTTTCAATGTAAACATTAAACATGAAGGCGTTTTCAAAGGTGAGCTGCAGAAGCATTCCAAATATGCAAAATTTCGCTTTGGCAGGAGGGGGGGGGGAACAGGGTGCAGTTGAAGCAGTTCGGGAAGAAGTCAGACGAAAGGAATAGGGACACGGGTTCAGCGGCAGAGAGTGAGGAGAAAAAGTTATAGCAGTGGCTCTGTGAACAAAATGGAGAAAAAATGAAACAAACGGCAGCAGCCACTTTCAGCTTGATTCATATGAAATTGGACGGCGACGAAGGAGGGACTTGGCGCGTTGTTTATAACTGGGACAAAAGAGCACAAGGCACAGATAAGTGTTAAGGCGGAAGACGTAAGCGATCAGGATGTTGATTGCAGGCAAAGCTCATCGACCTGGGCCAGCTTCAACAACGAAGGGACTTCCAGGGACGTGCTCATCGCCCCATTTGACAACCAAGAGGTATTTGCCCTCCTCCTTCACTCGATAAGTGATCTTGTACTGATCATCACGAATGTGATCAATTTCGAAGTATTCACAAGGATATTTCGGCCCGGCCATTCCAGCGAGAAGAAGGTCATTGCCTACGCAAAGACAGGATACAGAATAAAAAGTCGATCTTAAGCTTGGCGCACATAAGAGGACAGAAAGCACACACATGAGGATTCAGAAATGGTCTTCAATAAGTATCACGAGTACCCGGGGTAGTGTTGACTTGTAAGTGAAACAAAGAATCCCATTACAGCAGCGGACATACGTAAAGACAAAATAGGAACTGCGAACAAAAAGAAGACGGAATAAACAGTTAGGCTCACCTGCTTCGCTCGTATTCACGTAGAAGTAGTTGTCTCTATTTACCATGGCGTATTTCAGGCCGAGGCCAGTGCATTGCACGTTTGCAGGAATAGGATTGGATACCATGCCAACGGACTCATAGTGATGACTCTGCAGGGTCTTTGTGGCAGTTTTCAGGTGCAGGCTGGTCTGTTCATTGTTGATTTCCGGGATGTCGCCCATAGGAGCTCCGGTGATTTTGGCCTAAAGTAAAGAATTTGGGAGGGATGACTGTTAAACCGAAGATCAAAGAAAAAGACTCAAAGTCTGCATGTACCCAAACGCAACTAGGAGCATTTGACAAGGAAGAGGGCGATGGCTACATATGGGTCTTCATTTTGGGGACTTGGAACGGCCCTAGATTAGGCCAGGAAAACTTGATCTGTGGGTGGACTGGTAAATTCTGAAACCTACCTAACTGCAACCCCAGGGTCACCATCAGTTATTTCGGCGGTCCAAGGCAGGTGCATGAACCAGTGCTTCTAAGAACATGAATGCATTCAGAGAGGACGTATTTCAGATCCCCAACCTTTGAAATAACAAGGGTCTGGATGCTTTGGTGTAAAAGTTGAAGACTTTTCTTTGCGTTGCTCATTCATTTACACCTAACTTTGTCTGCTCTAGTAACCTTCATTAGTAAAAGCCCCCTCGGAACTTTGTAGCCGATCCGCAAACACTGTCTGTTGCTTTGCGAGGCCGCATAAAAGACTCCCCAAAGGCTGTTAGTTCTTCACCCATCAAACCGAAACGCGCAACGATTCTGCAACCAGGCCTTGTGTGCGTCGATGCAAGTGAGTTCATAGTCCTCGAAAAATTGGATACGTCGAGACAGCGAGGAGGCGATCCCTCCAATTTCCAGTTCCCATATAACGAGAAACTAGACCCCATCGGAGGATGACAGAAACCTTCAGTCAAAGAAAATCACGTGTTCGAAATATTTTTGCTGCTAACCCGGTATTCCTAATGTTACGATTATCTGCAAACGGTCTACAGCGAGTATATCGAAGATTCAGTGGGGGAAGCTGTAAAATACTCCAAAGGATAGAGAAAGTGCCCTTTGGATGACTACGGGATGGCCATCATCCAGACCATGTGGTGGGCAGAAGTAATGATAATTTCTACACGTACTCGTGTCGTCTCCTAACCTTCACCGCATGCTGAACTTGAATTGGACATAGTATAAACCGAGTTCCAAACGCTAGAACGCCGAAAATCTGGAAGCGATGGTAAATTTATAGAGCTTCGCTGTCGATGACGCTCACAAATCACCCTTCACTATAAAACCGCAGTATCGGTTTCTGGACAATCAACGGCAAACGAGGCCCATTCCAATCTTCCCTTCCGCTATCACAACCTACCACTTAGGTCGACGAGCTCTCAGAGCACGCCAGCTCAACTGTCCCTGTGCCGGCCATGGCTCCAAACTGGGGTACATTGGACGAAGCGTTTTGCTCAAGACTCCAGTTCACACGACCTTTCACCGTCTGCCAATTACATTTCTGTCTAGAACGTACACTCCGCCCAACCTTCGGTGTCTGTTCAACGCCCATGTACATCCCAGCCTCCTACAGATATGGTCGTCTGCTTAAACAAGAATATAAGATATATTATAATACCGGAACATTCTGAGTGTGAGCTAAACGAATCAGTAATACTGTTGAACTGGTCTTGATGGGGGGTTCAACGACTAGACCCTAACAAAGCGAAAAAATGGAAACTTGAAATATCGTCAGAAGATAGGAGGCTATCATTTTAATGGAAACCAGCTGGGTTAAACTTAAAAAGTTATTTTTTAAACTTAAAAGTGCTTATGCCTAGTTTCGGGGAGTAAGCACCTCTCTATTTTATGACGCGCAATAAATCTAAATGGAAAATGTCGGAAACAGTGCAAAGGCGGCCTTTGAATTGCACGACAACGTCCACGACTCATAAATTTAAAGACATATTTTACATAATTTTGTGCACACTCTCCTCTAGCAAAGAAGCAGGAAAATTACTCACATAGAAGGGTGATCCGTAAATGTCGAAGTTGCCGCCATATTTGATAGTGATCTTATATTCGCCGGGAACAGTTGGTACGTAGGCAAATTCGTATCCATCCTCACGTTCCTCGCAGGTCACCTGGACCTTTGAAGGCCCATCAATCAGGACACTGAGAACCCCGCTACCGGCATTGGCGGTGTTAACGAAGAATTTATTTTTGTTGCCTTCAGAGAGTGGATAAAGGTGGGATGGAAATTGACTGCAAGTTCTACAGCTGAGGGCCACAAATGAAATCTTAGGTGCTAACTGTACGTTTAGGGTTGTATTCCAAGTAGTTAAGTCACGCTACGCCAAACTGAACATCAATCAACAAATGCAGGTGGTTGACCAGGACAGAGTGACTAACGAGCTGTTCTTAAAACAGATAATTAAAATAAAATACTTCATTCTGAAAATTCCAATAAATAATTTAAGTAAAAATGTGCACCGTACGCGAATGAAAATGTATAATATTTTACAGGTTCCCGTAAGGCGATATCCTGATATAAAGAGAACATGAGGACAGAGGTGGAAAAGATGACTTGGTTCGTTGGCAGGCTTAAAAATCTGCAGGAGTAGATCGCGGGTGTATTCAAACGGAGGCGTTAAACTATTATTAGATGGTGTACATTTTCAATTGGACGAGTCGCAAATCTACGCATAAATCAGCTGTAACCAAAGCAAATTATACAGATGCATTCCGTTCCAGGAGGATTACTGTCCGTTTAGGAAAGTACAAGAACTAAGAGATAGCATATGTTACTTACGGGGCAATAATGCGGTAGGTACCCAACAAGGTTCTCCATAGACCGACAGCATGCGACCGCGTAATCTGTGCCGAGGTCACACTCCGCAACTAACATTACTTAGCCCTACTTAAGTAATATTTTAGACCTGAATTCAAATCTGAGGTTTGTGGTCAAGATTCGTCAAGGTATCAGGCATACCATGATTTTTAAGGCGGAGATGTAACGACAGGTAGGCGGTAGTCCGCAGACTTCAGCAAGTAAGCCCTCACCTCTAGCAGTTGATTGTGTCAAGTACAATACTGGTTTCGACTCCTGTCTGGTGGGATCCGAGCCGCTCCCCATATTTTTATTGTGGTACAAAAACCTGGTTAGTGTCCTGTGTGGACCAGGAGTGTGGTGGTACGCCCAGGTGAGGGTTTTTGCCATGCCAGCCACCTGCGTAGCCACCCACCTTCGGTCTTCTTGACTCTGTCTTGACATGGGTTCCCGGCAAGGGGAGGAGAGTGATTAGGAAGCTGCGCAAGTCTACGACCACTTAAACTCACGAGTAAGTAGGCATCCCTGCTCTCGCCCTTCTGTGGAGTACACAGTAGACATCGTCGGCAACGACAGTCAAATTGTGACTGATTTCGAAGCTATTTTTATAACAGTGTCAGGAAAGTGACTTTTGCCAACTGATGTGGTTTTGTTAAAGTGGATGCAATTACGCGTCCAATATTACTAAGAACTGGGGAAAGGAAACTAGAAAGCTATAATTAATGACCGGCCAATTATCATTTCTTAGCAAGAAGAATTAAATCATCCTTCTTTAAGTCCAGCGTGTGGTGTTGGAAAAAGCATAAACAAGATGTTACCCAAAGTTAGTTCGACGTACCGACGGTTCCGTGGGTCAGGCCTTCTCCGACGGCGAAAACTGAGCTCGGATCAGCCATTTGGCCACCCACCACGATTCGGAAGGGTGACCCGTCAATTTCCTGACGACTTGGTGCATTGACACCCAAGTGGCTCTCAGATTCCGGCACCACGAAGACCGAGATTAGGTGCGTGCCGCTCTCATGGGGTACGAAACGTACAACATACTGATCCCCGTCCAAACGATGGACAGTGGCCTCCTCTTGTTTCTTTGAGGGTGTCTCCACGGAGGCGAAAAGAACTTGCTTCGACTCCAAACAGTGTACTGTGAAGAAGACAGGGCGTCCAATCTGAATGCAGAAAGGCAAGAAAGTTGGAGAGTGGTGGAGACAATTTTTCGTTAAATCAGACAAGTCAAGCGGCCGCGGATATGTGTATTCTAACCAAACCCCGCCAAACTATCGCGCAAACCGCTATCTAATGCAAAAATGGAGGTAATGGGAACCTTTCAGGCGATGAAAAGTGGTATTTTTAAATACATAAGGATGAAAAAATCGTATTTGTGCTGCATGCTTGTTTTACCACATAAAAGACACTTTGTAGGAAGATTGTACAGGGAAAACGAGCGAATAATTCCGTGCCCTACTTAGTCAACGCCACGGGTGTTCCAGCAGAAGTGAAAAGTGCTCAAGGAAGTGAATGTGAACTCATAATTTAGCCAGTCAGTATGCAGTTAAACTGGGACTGCGGTAGTTAAACGCATCGGGCTTTGGAGGTCATCAACCGTCATAAAGCCCTCGAGTGAGAGGCGAGACTGATGATTTAATCTCATTTTAAAAATCTCTCCGATAGGGTAAATTTATGGGCTTCGTATAGGCTCCAAGACCGTCACTTTCAGCCACTTCCACAGTGAGACGTTAATTATCGGCATCAACCTAACGTTAGTCTCAGCACAGCCGTTCATATAGTCGCTCCTATATAAATTGGCGGTGTAACGGTTAGATAAGAGGTGTAGCTTTGTTAGAGTGGACTCCAAATGAATTCATCATTTTCCCCTCCGCTCACTCATAGACACTTATTTGATCGACGTGAAAACATGAATATTTTCTTCTACAACAGTAACTGAATTTGTTAGTAATCTATGCTAATTAATGACACTATGAAGATGAAAACTATCTGTACGTTTTGAAGGAGACACGATCGCTGGGACAAGAGCTTTATTAGCCTGACGTTTCGGATTCCTACTCGAACCCATCATCCGAAACATAAAACAGATACCCGTATCTTCTTTTTGTCTCTGAGGATAGGTTCGAGCAGGAATCCGAAACGTCAGGCTAATAAAGCTCTTGTCCCAGCGATCATGTCTCCTTCCCCAAGACTCCTTCCTGGGACTCGTCTCTTCGCCTCTATTGAAAATCTGTACGTTTTTAAAGGAGAATGAGAATCTGCGGCAATTGGTGAACTCGCGAGTAAGGAGAGATGTGGTTATATTTAATCGAATCATAGTGTCTGGAAAATCCATCGTAAAAATGTTTGTCATCGAAAGCTACAAGTATACTCTTGTCCATCCTTCCTTACTTACAAAGCACTCCAAACGCCCACCTCTAGAATACGACGTCCTTGTTGGCCCCTGGAAAGCGTACGCAACTCTCACCACGACAGATTCCAAGCAAGTATATGAATGCCCTGTAGTAATAGCTAACTTGAGGGGAATGGCAGTTTGCCTTCCAGGGTGAAAATTTTCCAAAAGACATTGTAAATTGCATTAAGGCCAGGAAAAAAGTCTCTGTCCCAGTACAATACGGAACTCTGTTCCGTTATTTGCGGAAGTCTATATAAATACTGACAAATGGGTCTCCAGCTGTGTCACATTGTCATATCCAATGTGCAAAAAGAGAGAAGGCTCAGATAAAAGCGAAAGATCAATCTCCAGGAAGCAGAAAAAAAGAACTCAATCTTTGAGATAAGAAGTGTACTCGAAACACTAGACTAATAAGATAATTTTTCCAGCATTTTAGTTTCTTTCTTTTCAGAAAAAGCTATCTTTTGCTTACCTCTACATCATCCTTGTCCTGTGCAGCCCCAGGCGCGACGTACTGAACAGGAATTTCGTATGCTGACACCCTTCCAGCCTCCTTAGGATCGGTGACGTAGATGTTGAAGGGCGAGAAAGGAATATGTTCGTCCCGGAATTTGATGGAACAGACGTACTCACCAGGTTTGCGAACGCGATAGTAGACAACACAGGAGCCGTCGCGCTGATCCTACAGAAAGGATGTAATAAGTGTAAATGGATCTCGTAAGCGCAAACCTAGATCTTAAAAATGATAAAAAAATTGACATCACGCCATTATTTGCAACCCTGAATCGCTCTTCAGTGACTTTAGTTCTGGGATTTTTGCGGAATTGCTTGATAAAAAGAGTTCGCTGTGAGGCATTTACCATTGGTTGACCGAAGTTACTGTATGTTTAACGACTGACGCCAGATTATGAGGAACCGTTTTGTTTATCGTTTTGATGGTTAGTCCGAAGTTGACGCACATGCGGACAAGCGGATCCAAGCTTTGCTGCATAATCGCTTCAGTGGGAATCACTATTCGGGTCATGTTTGATAGTAGACTAGGAGTAGGGTCTACCCATAGATGAGTGAGTTGTTAGATGTCTCGAATTACAACAGACGTTACTATAATCAAACACACCTCACATATTCTGCCAAAGTGGTTAAATTCAAACGATAAGCAGATCCGATGCCTTGCCCAGACGTATAACTTACTGAACAGTTGGGGAGGAGTGAAGTAAGACGCCACAAATCAAGTTAATGACCAGCCCGCAGCCTTACTCAGAAAGAGTTCACGAACAATGCAAGAACAACAGACTAGGCTCAACTCCAGACGATCTTCAAAGGTATGCAAATAGGTGCATGCAAAACCAACAAAGACCACAGGCAGACCGGCGAAAATGCGTGGCATACAATTTAACAGTGACACTGGGCAGAGCGCGGTAATCAAGGCGGCGTTACTGTAGTTGGCTAAAAGTCAGGCAGACTGAAAAGTTACCTCAAAGAAGATCTCTGCTTTGCTCGGGCCCTCAATTGCGATTGACAAGCTACCAGCACCAGCCTCGCGGGTATAGATGGAGAATTCGTTGCGTTCATCGACGACACCATACTCTAGACCGCGGCCGGATACGCGAACCTTGCTGGCGCCGCCATCTGCCGGTTGGCCCACAGTAAATTGGAATGGACTGTCTGAAAAAAAGGGAAATACGGTACAGAGTCAGAGCACTGCTCAGAAATGAAATTTCTCCGATGATGAGGCGACGGTAGAGCTGTGGCACTGCCAGAGCTGGTTTTTGCAGGTGAAACGTGTCAGAAGAATGCAGTCTGTACTGGGTGGAACGTCGAGAGCCAAAACTGGAGCCTGTGCAAGACAGATACTTGAGAGTGTGTGGCAAATACGCGGCTTTGTAAAGGAACAATGTGACAATAAAAGAACAAAAAGGACGGTAAAACAAAGGCAAACAGAAAACATGTGGGTGGTGGTTCACTACTTGGATGCGGTGCACGTGTCATCGGTCAAGGTAACTTCAGACATCTGATGCCAATGAGGTGTAAATAGAGTCCCATTGAAATCTGCACAAAAAGGTTTAACCTGCGTCCCTCGGTCACTTAACGGCGAGAAAATGTGTTTCGGAGTTGCCAACAACTGTAACATTGGAAAGTTCACATTTGGCGATGGGTGTCCCGTTTGAGTCTAGCGCGTTAGGTTCTTGCTTCAAAACGACTACGGTAGTCGTTCAGATGTACCGAAGGCCAATGTGAGTCGAGAAATTTTGGGATTCTTCACTTCAGGCTAATTGACGGCTTAGACCGCAATTACTTCTCCCACAAAATCTTATGTTGTTTGTCAAAGAGTTTAGACTGGTCAAAGCAGCAACAATCAGTCAATTCAGATCCATAGAATGTGGGGTAAAATGGTACATAGTAAAAGTGCGCGCCCAAACAGGCGGGCTAGCCAACAACGGACTACTCAGCCGGACCCTCTGATAACGACAAAGCCCTATAGAGAAACGCGGCTTAAAAGGTAAAAAGTTAGACATTTCTGAGGTGAAGAGAGAACGAGAAGAGGCCTATTCTAAACACCCTCCTTCCCCGATGTCCCCACATTTTCGTCGCTTGTAGGAACGCTCGCATCAAATGCATACAACGTCTTCAGAGTGTCAATGTGACTCATTAACGCTGAGCACGGCGCATGAATTAATCAGGAAACCGAGGTTAGACAGGTACCTGCGTTCCACTTCCCTAAGAACCGACCTCAGACGAAGACGATGTTTAACTCAATTCAGTTTGGCAGGGACGGTGTTGCGGCACAAAGTTTTATGAGTGTGTTTGCACAAGCACAACATAACAGTGCCAGTTTGTGTGTGCGTGTCATTTAAGCTACGCGCCGCGGGTGGCAAGGGGGTGAGTGAGCGAGTCCTGGATTCATCGCCTGTGGATACTGCGTACGTAAGTAGAGGCAAGCACGAGTGCTGACTCTTGAGGCGTTTAACTACTTTCTTAAACAGGCAAACGACTGGTAGGGAGCGGTTTCGTGTGCACTCGGTTTGAGGAAAGGTCTATGCAAATAAGTCGTAGCGTAGAGAAAGGCAGCCACGACTACGCGGTGCTTACATTTTTGGGAAAAATTAAAACACACACACAGAGGCATTTACCGTAGGCCAGTATAAAACATTTTGTTTTTGGGAAAGCCGATCAACTTACGGTAGAAATCGGATGAACGTGCCTCGATAGCTAGGCCAAGAGCAAACAAATATTTGCACACACGAGCACACAGGGTACAAAGGTCAGGTAGTACTGCGAAGAACGTAAGAGGGAAAACGATCGTGACACAGGGGGTAGGGGATGAGCACTTACTCGGTATATGCACTCCTCGTTCGAGGACGTTGACCAAGTGCACCCCGACCTCTTGGGGCACAAAGCGAATCGTGAACTGCCCATCATTGACAGAGACTATTTCGCAAGGTAGGACACGACCCGATGGAGAAACGACTTCAGTAGTTAGGCGACGAATGTCGACGTCTGGAAGAAGAAAGAAGCGAAGGAAGTGAAAATCTAATATATAGAGAAGGATTGTCTTCCTGGCACCACCATTAGCATACCAGGCATCTGGATTGTCGGGTGGTTGCTATGGTAAAAGCAGAGCGTGACATTCTGTGGCACGGTGTAGAAAAGCTGCTTCTCATGGTGACGCAGAACCTCACCAAATCATAAGTGGTATCCAGCAATATTATCGCTAACGATGCACGGTAACAGTCGGCTGATCTTCCTTTATATTTTGGTCATTCATGTAAGTCATTATGGCCCCAAAATGGATGCATTTAAGAAAACAAAAAATTGGAGAGATTCTAACTAAGCGATCCGATCGATAAGATTGAACATTACGGTCGCTTTGCTGACGATATCTTTGCAATTGCCACTGTAGAAACCGATGTTGCTACCCTCTTATATGCTGTAAAGCAGGCACATCCGTCGACCAAATTTACGCTGGAGAACGAAACGGCCGGTTCGCCCCCTTTCCTAGATGTTTTTCTAAGCAGGAGACCTAACGGGAGTGTCCGAAGAAGTGTCTATCGGAGGAAAACCTGATCTGGACAATACACGAACTTAGCCAGTTCCCTACCAATCCAAAAACGAAATTTAGTCCGATTTTTGGTACAAAGAGCTAGAAAAATTTGCTCAACAGATAGCATCGAGGAGGAGCTCAGAAAAATCCAGGATTTCCTTCGCAAAAAAGGGTATCCTGACAGGTTTATTGAAAAGAACACTGTCGAACGACCAATCAAACCCGCCACACCGACCGCCGAAAAGAAGACTTTGTTCCTCAAAGTCCCTTTCCAAGGGGACGCTGCGAGTGAACTCCTATGGAGACGCCTTGATCAAGCTGTCTCGCAAACCTTTCCAGCAGCAAGGGTTCAAATAGCATTCTATACTAACCCTATTTTACGCGGAGAAGGTAAGGATAAGTTGACACCAAAAACCACCTCAATGTGCAACACTATTTCTTCACTTGCTCCTGTGGAGCAGATTATATTGGTCGCACGAGTCGGCACTTATCCAAGACAATACGGGAACACCTCCCGGCATGGCTGGGAAAAGACGAAACGAGGAGCATAAGCAGCGCCATTCTCGCGCATATTGTCGATTCCGGACATCGTGTGGACCCCAACGAAGCGTTTAGTGCGGTTGAGAAGGTCCCATCGAGCTAACCTAAGATACTAGGCCAGCGCCTGTTAGCAACAGCAGAAGCGGCCGCCATCAGGTTACGAAAGCCAATCTTGTGCGTACGGAAGAACCACGTTCAGGCTCCGCGCCTACAGTGGTTGAAGATCGGTGCGACTCCCCCCGCGCACTTCCGCTCTCACCCCGGCCCCGACAATGACTGCTATTACCCCCCCCCCCTTTCCCCACATTCCCACACCCCGCCTGTGTTTTAAGGAGAACTTTTATCGATTTCTCTTATCGCTGACATGTTTTACTTCTACTCCGTTCCCATATAACTGTACTAGTCCGACGAGAATTTATCGAAAGCTACGTAGGCTGGCCACCTCGTCTTCTGAAAACCAAAAAACGCCATGGAAGTACAGAACTTCAAAAGCAATCGCACAATCAACGGCGAATGTGGCTGCGGAAGTGCTATCTGCTGAGAAAAAATTAATGTAAGTGTTGATAGTATCACAAAAACAGAATCCCTCCGAAGTCACTCAAAGCCAACGGCCAGCTCGGAAATTTAAGTATACAGTGCATACAGAAAAGCAGGAGGGGCCCTAATCCTAGCAAGTGACAGCTTACATCAACGAGGTATAGAACGCCGTTAGTCATGACATAATGCTCAAAACAAAGTAAGAAAGAGGCTGTCCATGTACATACTTATTTCGGTGGGACTGACTTATGTGACTCCCTCAAACAGGACATGGGAGTAGGAGGACGCCACCGAAGTAATAAAGGTGGACAAAATAATTCTGTGTCTGATCTCAACAATAATGCAAATATAGAACTAAACCGTTGCCCTAATCTGGGCCCTAAGTCCACTCTAAACATTAACTCTGCAGTTAACACTAGCCCCCACCTTAACCCTAAACTTGGTCCTGACACACTTCCGTTAGCTTCAAATCTAGCCTCAAATCTAATCTTTAACCTAACCGTACCCTTAGGCCTAATCCTCACTTCACTGCGAGTTGCCTCAAAGCCACCCTATTGCAGGCGGTTCCTGTTCTCATGTTCTGTTTGAGGGAGTCATACAAGTCAATCCTTTTTATGAGGCCGAAAGACCCGATGTCGTCACACGTTAAACCAGATGATAGTTATTCTACCGAGATTTAAGCACGAAACTGGGAGCTTAACCCTGATTCGGGTGGCTGGACACGCATTAGCACAACTGCGTCAATCTAGAAGGTCGGGTAAGGCAGAAGTCTATGGAAGGTATTGCGGAGTCGCTGCTCAGTTGACTGATCAACCAAGGCAACATCTCCTCGACTTAAAAAGGAATTCAACGATGACGCGCAATGTGATTGGCAGTTCATTTGCCTTACAAAACGAGAATTACGCTAAACTCGGCCATGGAGGCATGGCCGACGATCTCACTAGAGTGAAACAAGCGGTTTCTGCAATCTTCCAAGTCAGGGCTCGCAGTAAATGATTACGCTCTTTAAGGTGAGATGACTGCTGTACATTTTTTTGCCAAGACTGCCGTCAGAAACCACCTTGTGGTCGTATAGGCAGCAGGAATCCAACGTGCTTTTCCTGTATCAAAAGTAACCGCGTAATACCTTTCAAACGTAAAGGCCTCTCCCATAAGCAGAGCCCGTTCGGTGGAAAATCAGCCCGGGTTCTTTGCAAACGTCAGCCAGATTATGCTTTCTCCCTCACAATGCCTTCGACTGTTCAGGCAAATTCCAAACGGTTGTATATTGGTCAGTTAACTCAAGAACATTTATGGAAAGGTCCATGACTGCAAGGTCGAGTGAGTACGCAAACGGGAAGGCCCAATTATCTTCTTGAGCGGGACTCCTATGCGTTGTGCTCGTACGCAGGCGAACACTCGAATGACACTTTTATGAAGATCATTCATTCGGTTACATATTACACACTGGCTCAGAAGCCACGCCGCATTTCCAGTATTTTCTCCTAAGTATTTTACTGCTACTTCGAGTATGAATACGAAAGGCCTGAAAAACAACAAAGATTTTGTTAACCCTTTCACCTACTTTAACAACAGTCTGTCAAAGCTTTGCAATACTTTAACTCTTGATCCAACTCGCAGACCTGATCAAAAGAATACGCCTCATGACCTTGGAAAGGCTGTAAAATAGGGTCGGATCCGAAAATCGTGCGCCTGCTACTGTACCTTAGTCCTACAGACTAAATTGTGCCCGATCAATTTGGTGCACGAACGGTTCTATCGGATCGGACGCACATAGAACAGAAGACTGCCAATTTTGCGGCACACCATTGGGTTTGTAAAAATAGTTAGTCATGTCCAGTAAAACCGTGGAACACACCAAAATAATCCTCTCATTTCATCCGTTTGTTGCCTGGGAGGTGCCTCCCTATAAATATACAGTGGTTTCTCATGCAGTAGTCTGGTAGCTGCTTTCTGCCTGCCCTAGCCACTTATTCGAACATTTAAGCAGTAGGATGCATAGGTTCTTTAGTTAAGTAGCTGTAAATGGCTTGGCTAGATCAGGCCATCAGCAAGGACAATGAAGGATAAACCTCGGAATTTTAATCAGGAT